AGTGGTAGTGGTAGTGGTAGTGGTAGTGGTAGTGGTAGTGGTAGTGGTAGTGGTAGTGGTAGTTGTAGAAGTAGAAGTAGAAGTAGAAGTAGAAGTAGAAGTAGAAGTAGAAGTAGAAGTAGAAGTAGAAGGAGAAGCAGCAGCAGCAGCAGAAGCAGAAGCAGAAGCAGAAGCAGAAGCAGAAGCAGAAGTAGAAGTAGAAGTAGAAGTAGAAGTAGAAGTAGAAGTAGAAGTAGAGGTAGAGGTAGAGGTAGAAGTAGAAGTAGAAGTAGTAGTAGTAGTAGTAGTAGTAGTAGTCGTGGTAAAGTAGTACCACAAAAGTGTCAGAAACAATATTATTTGCTCGAAGTGGTGCCGCGACAGGGTAGGACTGCCTCCAGGCATATCCTCGAGTGACGGGTGGTTGGGGCTTCGAGATCGGAGATCCCGCAGCTGGTCGGTGCCTGGCCGCGGGTTTTGTCATGTTGCATGCACTCCTTTTGCTTTGCTTAGCCACGTTCCAGGATATTGGACCGAGTTTTTCCGGCAGGCAGGGGCTCTGTGAGTGGGCTGCCGGTCGTTGCCGGGGAACAAGATGTCGACTCTGTTCCAGGATTCAGCTTTGAAGTCCACAGCGTTTGCGCCAAAGACTCGCAGGACAAGCATCTTAAATTCAGCCGTCACAGAGGGTCGCTGTGCACGGGATCAAACACACGCGGAAGTGCCGAAGGAGATTTCGGACGCAGATCGATCACAGATCCTAAACGCTTGCGAGGTGGAGGCCCTAGAATTTGCCGATGATGCTGACAATCGACATCTGTTTGGACATTTATGAAGGCTGTCCCAGAACGGCATTTAGATTACATAGTTTCAAGAAATCAGCAGCAAGGAATTTGCTTTTGCTTTCCGCACATGGTTTGCTGCCACTAGCAGCCGATTGAGCATTGACGTAAGGAATGGCCAGGCGATCAGGCCGCTTTGCTGCTGTTGATGTCGGCTGTTAAATGATGTACACGTTGCAAGTGCACTAGAAGCAAGACCTTTTGCAGATCATCATAACCCACGGCACCGACACCTTAGTCGAAACCGCCTGCTACTTGGGCAATCGCGCAGGACTGCGCCTGATTAATGCGTCAAGCATGTTACAATATGATACAGTGTGCTCGATTGTTTGCACATACGTAGCCATTGGGCTGAGGGGTCCTGATAAGTGCATTGGACGTTGCAACGTGCGTGTTCCTTGGGTCTTTTGTTCGAGGAAACTTGGCCACCAAGCGAATTTGTCTGACCGGCGCAATGCTTCCAGAAAAATTCGTGGACACGGACGCTCACTTCAACATGGGCATCTTGGTTGAGCGGACAAATTCCGAGATAGTTTTCTAGATAGTGCGTTGTCGGCAGCAGGGCGCGGTCATCTAAAGCCAGACTAATTTGCAGGCACTTCAGCGTCGTATTGCGGAGTTGTTTGTAATTTCAATGCGAAGGTGTTTGCTTTGGCGCTTTGGACGTGGCAATGCCCGGTATCTACGCATCTCAGCATGGCATTGTTTCGGAATGATTTGTGGCATTGTTGTTGACGGCTCGTATTCGCCAAACAAGTTGGCAGGTGTGCATGAATGGGCGAGTTCGGGAATGGTCATCCGTAGGGCGGGATCTGAATTCCGGAATCTTCACTCAAGCTCTGGACTCCGGACGTTGAAAGTCAGCCTCGATGGCTTCGCCAAGTAGTGGCCCTCTGCTTGAGCGACTTCCAGCTGCAGATGGTATTTGCCTCCATGGACGCGGTCACCTTCGCATGAACACACTGCCTCGAGAACATTGGCGCCTGTCAGATGAGATTAAGTCGCTGTACTGAGCTTCAGGATTCAAGCTGACAAAATGCAAGCGCAAACTGTGTTTATTTGGATATCGGCAGACCGTCATGTCTCATGCGGCGAAGCCAAGAAGTGCACCAAAACGATGGAACTATTGCTTTTTAGGCTGCAATTCCTGTGCAGTTTGCCTGGTGCGGCTTGATAGTTTTCTGTTGTGTTGTTCAGGTAGCGGGGTAACCATACGTGTCGACAGCTTACATTGCTGCCGCCCTCTGGCAATGACATGTCAGCACCAAAGATACCCGAGTTGGCTGTTTTGGGAGGTAAATGCCCACGCTGCGTCCACGATGCAAAGCTCCATTCAAGTGCACGGCCAGGCGGAAATGCACACAGGAAGAGTCGCAAACAATATCCAACACGCTGCCACAATCGTTTGAAGCCTTGAAGGATCTCGAGGTGACATCTGTGAGCCTCTCGGATGTAGGGCCGAACCGTCGAGCCTGCTATCAGCGCTTCCTCGAAGGTGATGCAGAACGTTCCGAGACTCCGAGTGCAGTGCCGGGCCTAGCCGGGCCTGGCCAAGTAGGGAAGAGAAGGAAGAGAGAAGGGCCAGGAGATGTGAGGAGATGTGAGAATAAAAGAGGACTGCATCCGCAAGGCCGCCTCGGAGCTATGCAGAGACCTCCCTAGGCTGTGCACTGAGCTGCGAAAGGCGTCGTGCCGTGGCTGTGCAGGCGTTTTCGTTTTTCTTTTCCTCGAAAGTCCGAGGTGTCGAGAGCGGACCTGGGAGGGGTAGCCGCAGCGCAATGTTCACACTTCGCCTGCACGACGAGGCTTGGAAGCTTCTCGAAGGCGTCTCAGGTGCCAGGTGCGACTCTTCAGGTCATGGCAGGAATGGGCCCTCGCCAAGGTCGCTGGCTGAAGCCCGAACCTTACACATCCGACAAGAGCAAAGCTGAACACGCTTCGTCTTCAGCCAAAAGTTTCGGGGCTCCACCCGAAGTGCGACGCAGCAAGCGTAGACGGTAAAAATAGTCTATCCCTGTGAATCCTCTGTCGAGGATCAGGGTTTCTGGGCTTACATCGCGCATGCTGCACCAGCCGTCAGACCAAGATTTGGCGGCTGCACGAAAGTACCCCACACACTGTCTAGGGCTGTGTGGGGTCAAGTCTTAATTCAGCAAGCTCGAATCGCGTAAGCTTACTTCACAGACAAGTGTCTCCGGTCCAGCACTCGGCAGAACAGGAGATTTCACGCGAGCCCTCACGCTGGTTAGCTGCAGTGAGTTGTAGTTTATAAACAGAGCAGGCATGGGGAATTGTCTCGGGGGAGGTTTGAGAGGATGCTGCTAAAGCCACGCAGAGAGGGGGCAGTTTGTTGAACACTTGCAGAGGATGGCCTTGGCACTCAGCAAGAAGTTTTCTGTCAAAACCCCACTTTGACCTCATCGTAGCTGCACTGTCTTGTGTACAGCTGATCACACCGGTCGGTGCCGCTGTGATGCTTGTCGCGGACCGACGTATGACGCCGGATGATGTACGTGTAACGGTCTCCGAGCTGGCAGCATTTCCCAAACTTTGCACAACTTGGCTAACGCAGATAGATACACAAGCTGTAGTCAAAGATCGCAGCAGCTGGTGGACATTCACAACCAGTGCGACACAAGCAAAGCAGCTACAGAAATGAAGGCATCACTTACGAAGATCTGATTCACGTATCTTCACATCCCTCGATCTTGTCTTGCGGTGGTTGGGCATGTTGGGCTTGAGTCTCCCCTGAAAGAAGGGTTTCAAATGATCTCAGTTTCAAGCCATTGCATGCAAGGATCACGCATCCAGTGGAAGGTTGGGTGCAGGCCTTTCCAGTTACCGGTGTTGTTCTAAGCAAGTGTGAGACAATTTTGGACAACGTTCGCAGGCCGCTACTCGAGATGGTCAAGACATCCTCAAGGAGGTGGTTGGTTGCAGGTTCTCCCTGACGAGCTTCGCTTATCTGGTTGTCCAGTCGTTGAACTCCATGACAGGCCGAATCTTCGACAGGATTTCGACTGAGCTGTTCCTGGTGAGAGAATGTGCAAATCCGCTACAACAGTTTCGAGTTGTTTGTTTCAAAGGTTGTTACGGTACGTCCGGCGTCAAAGAGGCGACTGCTGGACAGTCAAGGTAGTCTTGCGAAAATGGTCCTGTCGGAGCACGGCATGGTTTCAGGGAGAATGCATCCAGCACAAGAAACTTTCTTGTATGCTGGTATGCCGAACATCGAACATTCCAACGTGTTCTGTCTCGCCCCAGTCATTGGGTGCACAGGCAGACGAGCGTCCAAGCAGCACCTGCCGCACAGGACTGCTTTTAAAACATGCGATGTTTCCAAATTCGCGTTCGGCGTTGAGGACATTGGATCGTTTCGGGAGAACGAACACGCGGAGAATGCTCAATCGAGGGCTCGTCTGCGGTTGTTGCGCGACGTGTGAATGCACGTGCCATCGCAGAAACAGGCCCGAGCTGTCGAAGCCTGCCGGCTTTTGCGAGAAGTGGCTCGACTGGAAGCCTTTGGGCCAGTGCCACAGTTCCCGAGTCATCTGCGCCAGTGCTTCGTTGTGCTTTGTATTCAGGCCCTCTGGAACGCCCCGGAAAAGCACGCGCGGCGTTTTCTAGTCTTGTAGGTGTCACCAAAACGTGCCGAACACCGGTGCTTTGAAGCACGCCTCCATTACGCAAGAGCGTCAATGCCTCTGATTCCTGTGTTGCTGTGCATCGGATCATGGGAGCAAGGCACCTTGGATGATCTTGGATGTTGGGACAACTTGGAAAGGAGACGCGTGAGCACATGGGTAGATTCAATGACATGCAGCATCATTGCGCAATCCCGTGTAGAATCGCGGTTCGAGATCTGAACAGGGTACGAGCACTGCGATTCAAGAGCCAGCACCAGACTGGAATTGAAGCTTCAGGGTTGCGGGTTTCGGGGTTGGAGGCTTTGGGGGTTAGTGTAAATCAGAAAGGTTCACGGAGGAGTTATCAAGCCCCGCTGCCGCAGGCACAAGAGTTCGTCGGCCCAAGAGAAAAGGCCAGTGGCCGTGCTGTGCTGAGGCCCCTGTGGGGCTCGCTTCGTGATCTAGTTCTAAATTGGTAGCGGAGCGACTAGCGCTCCTAGGCCTTTGTGTAGCAGCCTGTACTCCGCGTGCTGTGTTTTTTGGTGCAATGTCGTCCAGTGGACCTTCTAGTCTTTACGAAGGGTACCCTAGACGTGGTGCTGCCCAGCGTCCTGACGATGATTCCCCGCTCGAACATAGTGATGGCGTTGAAGCTGATCTTAGAGATAAAGGTGACAGTGGAGCTCCTCGTGATGATCAGGGTCAAGGGGATGACGTTTGGGGCTCAGGACGCGAATGGGGTCAATGGAGTGGCGGCTGGGGAACCAGCCAGTGGACCCACTCGTGGGGGAAAGACAATCGAGAATGGGATCATTCCGGGTGGGCTCGGAATCCTAGTTCCTGGAATGTCTACGAAGGTACATGGAACGACGCAAGACACTGGGGTTCGACTTCGACGGGTCCCGGATCAGCTGATGGTGGCTCGGATGGAGCTTTCAAGGATTCCACTTCGGACAGGTGGGGTCGCTATGTGTCTTCAGGGGAATCAAGAGGCGGCGGAGACGGAGTTCTACCAGAAGGCTGGGCGCCCTCCACGGATGCTCAGGGCAAGGCTATGAAGTACCGGAGGGACGACTCAAGTCGTGGTCCCTCTGAGAAGATGATTGTGTCCACGTTCTCAGGGCAGACCTCGTCCTCTGGAGACGACTTGGGCATGTCAGCCAGGTCGTATCTTCGTCAAATTTCGGCATGGCGAAGGATGACGAGAATGAGCGAAGACCAACAAGGGCTCACGCTCTACCAGCACTTGACAGACCGGGCGTGGATTGATGCAGAAAGGTTGGACATGGACAGGCTGGCCAGCCGACAAGGCGTCGACTACTTCATCGAGTGGATCAAAGACCGGTACCTCGACGTGCAGGTGACCCAGATAGGCCGTAGCTTGTCGGGGTTCTTCAGGGGCCTCCACCGCAAGGCTGACCAGTCGGTCAGGGACTACATGGCGGACTTCGACCGGGCGTATTCACGCCTTGCTGAGGTGGGTTGTCACCTACCAGACGTGGCTGCAGCTTGGGTCTTTGTAGACCGCATGGGCCTCGAGGAACAGGCGGAACTGGATCTCCTGGCGTCAGTGGGCAACCAGTATTCTTTGAAATCACTGCAACAGGCAGCTATTGTACATGATCGTGGACTTCGGAAACCTTGGGAGAACCAGCAGCGTCCTCCGAGGAAAGATTGGACTCCAAGGAAGGACTGGTCCACCAAGAAGCCGTACACCGCCCACCTGGCAGGGATTGAGGAGTACGAAGCCTACGAGACATCCGAGCCCTACGACCCTACGAACCAGGACGAGGATGACTATGACTGCGTGAACGAGGACGTCGCCCAGGAGCTCTTTCAGGCCTATATGACGCACGAAACCGCCAAACAGCGCTATCGGGAGAATGCCAAACTTCGTGGATCCGACCCTGAGACCCTCAAGCAGCTGGCAAGCGACCGCTTGAAGGCTGCAAAAGCAAAGTCTTTCTGTGCAGGATGCAAACGACGTGGTCACTGGCATAAAGATGCTGTGTGCCCACTCAACCGTGGCAACTCCGAGGGCACTGGAGCGGGCGCCCCAGGCCCCAAAGGGGGGCCGGCCCCTGCGCCTGGTGCGAAAGCCGAGGCCAAGACTATGTTTCCTTGTCATGTGGTTCATGTTACTTGGGAAATCGACGGCTACGTCAACGATGACCTCCTCGCGATCACTGACACAGCGTGCTCCAAGTCGGTCGCCGGTTCATCATGGATCGACTCCTACCTCACCGAGGCCCGTCGCCTTGGATGTGACCCGCAGTTCACATCGTGCAGAGAGGCTTTCAAGTTTGGGGCTTCGAAGGTCTTCATGGCGTCGTACGGGGTTGTCCTTTGCTTTGAACTTGGCGGTTACAAAGTGAGTCTCAGAGTCGCGGTGGTGAACGGAGATGTACCCTTGCTGGTTTCCCGCGGGGCACTGGGTGCCCTAGGAATGGTGCTCGACGTGGCTGAGAACAAGGCCTGTTTCAAGAAACTAGGCGTGAAGGACATGGCCTTGAAGGTGACCGAGACGGGACACCCAGCTTTTCAGATCGTCCCCTCAGCCCTGCCGAAGTCTTTTGTGCAGGACTCCAAATCGGAGTCGTCAGAGATCCGCATCTTTCCGCGGGGTGAGCAATACATGGCAGATGGAGATGTGTGGGGGCCTGGGGATGATTCCGATGGGGTCATGAATGCATCGGCGAGTTCGGGATCCTTGACTTGTTCGACTTGTTGGATGGTGAGTGCGTGTGATGGTGCTGAAGATGACCAAGGTGATAGAGCACTTCCGTTGACCGAGACTCACCGTGAGCCCCCAGCCTACAAGATCCTCTTCAGCCCTAAGAAGATTGGTCCTGCTACTAGAAACTTCCTGTTGGATGTTCACTTCAGTCCAGCTACCTTTGCAGCGTGGTGGTCCTCAACAAACGTCTCCAACGATTTCTGGATCGAGAGTGAAGAGTATTTGGTGCGTGTGCATGTCATTCCGCGTAGGACTTTCTTCAATCCTCAACATTGGAAGACCCTCAACCAAAGCCACAAAGAAGAGTTGCTACAGTCACTTGGGGTCGTCAGGAGTGTGAATGCACTTTCTTGCAAGAGCCACAAGGAGTTTCCACCTGTGCATGGACTCTGGGATAGCCAGCAAGACGAATCTACGTTTCCGGCGTTGTGGATCGGGAGAACAGTCTTTCGTAGACGATTTCCAATGCCAGCCTCTGTTTCATCTCGCCCTCTCTTGGCCGATGGCTCAGAGGTCCGATCTTTTGACGGCGCCAACAGTATGCAGGTCGAAGACTTTGTCGGAGTTCAACAAGGCCGAGCTCTTGGAAGAGGCACGAGCGCGCAACTTGTGGATCAACGACAGGTGGTCGACAGTGGAGCTCAGGTCGGCCATACAGGAGGACCGGAGGAACCCGTCGGAGAACCACCCCGTGAACACCACCAAGGGCATGCACAACATGACGTTGGAGCAGCTGAAGACCAGAGCGATGGAGCTGGGCTACCACGTGCCACCCCACGGGACTCGGGGGACCCTCATGAGGATTCTTCAGGACCAGGGCGGAATGGGGCCCGAGTCAGTGTTGGGATTCGGCCGCTTCCGTGGCAAGGCCTTCAAGGAGACGCCGGTGGGGTACCGCAATTGGGCCCTACGAGAGGTGGAGGCGAACGACAATCCGTCCGAGGACCTGGTGATGTTTGCCAACTGGTGGCAGGGAGAGATCCACAAGTGGAATGGGGCGCTGAAGGAGATCAAGGTGAACGACCCCTACGACGCGGAGGAGAATGCGACCATTCCGTATGTGGACGAAGGGAGTTCCACAGCCTCGTCGTGGGACGTGCTACAAAGGGAGGCGCTTGCTCCCGCGACCCCTCCCAAGGCGAAGAGTGCGCGCCCAGGCTATGGAACACAGACCCCGAGGACACCAGCGAGGAGAAGGTCAGCCGATGGACCAGTGATGCCTACCACGGACCGGATGGAGCAAGAGTTGCCCGCGAATGTGAGCGAGGAGGTCCGCTACCTGGAGGAGAGACTGGCGCTGTTGAAGGACCAACATGGACTCCCACCAAGGCCCTGAACGAGAAGAACTTCCACGGCATGGACGCGGCGAACGAGGTCTTTGAAGGCGAAGGGAACCAGTTCATTGAGGAGCACTGGGAAGAACCACAAGGCGACCCACCTGAACATCACGGCTACTACGACGAGTTCCTGGACCACCTCGCCTACAAGGATGCCGAGGAGATCTACACCGCCGAGCACAAGGAGATCAAGGGGAGCTTGAATTCCAAAGACGATGGAAGTGGTGCCCTACACGACACCGACGAGACCCCAGAACCCAACAAGGAGAAATGCGAGGAGCTCGCCCGCGAGAAGTTGGTCACCAAGGATTTCAGCTTTGACACCCTACTGAGGATCGCTCGTCTTCTTCCTCTACGTAAACTCCGTAAAGGGAAAGCCCTACGTCGAGGCGGTGGAGCCACCTTTGAGTACTTCCTCGGCGGCCTCTACTCCTATGGCAACATGGTCGGGGTCTCTAACCAGAGCTCTCAGATGCCATGGACGGTCAAGTACGTGAACAGCTTTATGAAGTCTCTCGGTATGTCCCAATGGTCGTCCTTTGTGCTCTTCAAGAATGCTGCGACCCAGGTGCACGCGGACGTCCACAACATGCCGGGCACCGACATCAAGACGGTCTCCTTCGGACCGTTCCTCGGGGGAGAACTTTGGATTCATGATGAAGGACAAGTCGCTGATGACCCCGAAACTACGTGGAGAAGGGACGAACAAGGCAGGGAGCTTCCCGGGACCAACGTCGACACGAGGGAGAAGGTCTACTCTTTCAGCGGCAAGATCAAGCATGCTACACAGCCTTGGTCAGGAGAGCGTTGGGCGCTCTCTTGCTTTACTTCCCGTGGCTATGGTCAGGCTACTGTCGCTCAACGTGATCAACTACGAGAACTTCGATTCGCCCTGCGTGGTCTCCCGCTCGTGGTTGGCACAAAAGAGGAGGAGAGGACGATCGATTCCGGAAGCAGGCCTATCAAGAGCATCCGAAAGGCCCTTTGGAGGAAGGCCGGGAGGTTGGCAGCTTTGACTACGTGGTGTGTGGCTGCGAGTGCGACCTGGACGGCGCAGTCATTTCCGATTGCCCGAGGACAAGATGCAGTCTCCCTCTTTGAAATCGGAGACTACACCAAGACTTTGGAGATCACGGCCCTCGACTACCTCGCGGCGGAGCCCTTCGATTACGTTGTCGGTGATCGTGACAGTCTCGACCCTGAGACTGTGCAGCATACCATACAGGAGTTTGCCCCGGCCGTTATTTGGTTGCATGGGAACAAAACGGTCGGCTACCTTGAGGACATCATCGACTACCTCTTCGAGCACATCGACAAAGGGAGGCAACTCGCACTTACCGCACAACCTGGTGATCCATGTTGGAACAGTGCCGGTATACGAAGTATGCTGGAGCGCTACGAGGGAAGATGGTTTCGGCGAGATGGAGAACCGGACGTTCTACGAGTCAACGACCCACAGCGAGACCTACAACCAGGAGCCACCGACCACGAGGATATCCCGCAGTTCAACGCCTACATGATCGACCACAAGCCCGGAGCCCGGGACGAGGAGGAGGAAGAGAAACCCAAGTTCGGGGCAGAGGCAATTTCATTCAGTGGAGGGAAGGGATTGGCCTCGGAGGTGAAATCTTCTCTTCGGCGTCTACACCAGAACCTTGGACACCCTTCCAACACAGACCTGGCGAGACATTTGAGGCTCGCTGGGGCGGATCCAGTTGTGATCGATGCGTGCAAAAGGCTACAGTGTCAGGTGTGCCAGAGGAACAAGAGAGGAGCATCAGCGAAGCCGGCGTCACTCCCTAACCTTCTGAACTTCAACCAGGTGGTGGCCGTGGACGCCTTCTATGTCTACGACATGGAAGGGGAGAAGGTCGAGCTTATGATGGCAGTCGATGTCGGAACAGGTTTCGTACTTGCGGGAAAACTTCAAGGACACTCTACCACGACGATGGAAGCCTCGTTTTGTACCATGTGGAGTAACACTTCTGGCGCTCCAGGAACTTTGGTGGTGGACTTGGAATCCGGCCTTCAAGCCGGACTGGCTCGCTTCAGCGAGTGGCACGGCACCGACATCAGGCCAATAGCCGGACAGGCCCACTGGCAGAACGGCACCGTGGAACGCGCCATCCGCACCTGGAAGGAGGTGTGGGGACGCATCATCGACGAGAGGTCCGCTACAGCAGATGAGGCCAACATGGTGGTAACAGCCGTCAACAATGCGATGAACACTTTACGACGAGAATCAGGATTCAGCCCTTCCCAGGCGGTGTGGGGCCGTGATCCCAAACTTCCCGAGGAGGTCCACGGCAGCTACCAGGACGACCATGTGGAGCACATTATAAGCCACGACCGCCAAAGGGCCCGCGAGCACACAATCCGCATTGCCGCCAAAGAAGCCTACTTCAGATGCCAGAATGACGCTCGACTGAGGCGAGGGCTACTTCAGAGGTCACGAGTTGGAGGTCCAGAACTACATGTTGGTGCTCATGTTTTCTTCTACAGGAAGCCCAAGAACAACAAGAACTGGGTATGGCATGGACCCGGCGTCGTCATCGGGCAAGAAGGACCCAACTTCTGGGTCTCCTTCTCTGGACGGTGCCATTTGGTGGCACCTGAGCACCTGAGGATGGCGAGCTCTGAGGAACTCGGCGCGGCGTTTGCTCTGAGGTCCACTCAGGCGGACCTGGAGAAGCTCCTTGAACAGGATTTCGGCGATGAGGAGATCTACGGAGAGCCCAACGAGCCCGACGTCGAGATGGAGGAGGATCCAGCTCTACCACCAGGCGATCCACCTGATCTACCTGATGAAGAAGTTCGTGGCGAAGGACAGAGGAGAGGACCTGAAGAGGCGCCAGCTGCGCCTGTTCCGAAGCGGCACCGGAAGAAGGGACCAGAGGCGCATGAAGCCTCGCAACCCAATGTTGCCTACATGCTCAAGATGCCCAAGACCCCCAGAGGCCGCGAAAAAGCCTTGGAGAAAGAAATTCCATGGGCCATGGTCCCAGTCGAGATGCAGGAGAGCTTCAAACAGGCCGAGCAGAAGCAGTGGCTTGAACACCGAGATCACAAGGCACTGGAACCACTGGATGTGCAGACCAGCCGGGAGATCCTACAAGATCGTCCTCACCGTGTGCTGAACAGCCGATTTGCGTATCGGGACAAGAATTGGTCCCGTCGACGTGAGGACGAGACAGTGGGATGGAAACCGAAAGCACGCCTTGTTATAGCAGGCCACAGAGACCCAGACCTCTTGTCTGGGTTACCTACGCATGCCCCTACTATCTCCAGACAGGGGATTCACCTGCTCCTTCAGATACTTGCTTCCAATCTCCGCCGAGGGTGGAAGGGATATGCTGGAGATGTTACGGCAGCTTTCCTTTGTGGTGAAGACCTGGAACGTGAACTTTACCTTCGCCAACCCAAGTCGGGGTTGGGAGACCTACATCCGGAGCAACTTCTCAAGATACGGAAGCCAATCTTTGGCCTCGTGGACTCGCCTTCTGCATGGTGGCAGAAGTTCCACAAGACGCTCAAGAAGCTCAAGGTGAAGAATGGTGACGAGGAGTGGATAGTGATGCAGAGCACTCTGGATCATTGCATTTTTATGGTCCAGAAGATCACCGGGTATGACGAGGAGAGCGGACCTATCCTGGAACCCCCGGAGGCCTACCTGGGTGTCCATGTCGACGACGTTCTCCTGGTCGGAGACGGAGGCCTGTGTGACCTACTGAAGCACAGCTTGAGCGCGGAGTTCCCAATCCAGGACTGGGAGGGCGAGAAGTTCGAGTATGTCGGCTCCTTCATTGAGATCTTTGACGACCGGGTGAAGGTGACGCAAGCAAGTTACGCCAATACCAGGCTTTTCCAGGTCGAGACCACACGCGAGGCCCCAGACCACTACGAAGCCAACGAGATCGAGAAGCACGACAATCAGTCCCTCATCGGGGCTTTGTCGTGGATGGCGAGCCAGACACGACCAGATCTCCAAGTCGGGGTTTCGATGTGCCAACAATGCCAGAAGTCCCCGACGATCGGCGACATCAAGTTCACGAACCAGCTGGCCAGGCGAGCGATGGAGTATAAGGAGGAAGGCTTGACCTTCCACCCTGTAGACCTCGAGAAGGCAGTCCTCCTCTGCTACCACGACGCAGGTTGGGCGAACGTTCCCCAAGGGGACGAGGACCCGTTTTACAGGCTCACCGACGAGGAGAACCAAGCCGGAAAGCTCCGAGATGGCCCCTTGGCGAGACGCGAGGCGAAGATGAAGAAGACCAACTCGACGATCGCCTCCCAACTGGGAGGACTCTACATCCTCGCAGACAGGGACGTCTTATCGGGGAAGGAATCTCGAGGAAGCATCCTCGACTGGCGAAGTGGTGCATGCGAACGAGTCTGCCGCTCAACCTTCGCGGCGGAAACCATGGGATGCGGGACGGCCATCGAAACAGGGGACTTCATTGCCAAGTTCCTGGAGACACTTCTGACCGGGAGATTGGCCAGGACTTCGACAAGGTTTGAGCTCAGATTCCTAAGTGACTGTCGCAGTTTGTACGATCACTTGACCCGGGACGGAGTGCCCAGGGTCCCAACGTGCAAGCGTCTAACCATAGACCTAGCCGGGATTCGGCAAGATCTCAAAGCTTTTGGTCGCATCGTGTGGGTTCCTACGGGAGCTCAGTTGGCTGATATTCTTACAAAGCCACTTCGTCCCGACACATGGTGGAACACCATCAGGGGACCGTTGAAGTTGACATTTCGAGAAGGGGCGGAAATTTTGTATAGAAAACTCCATTCTGAACCGGTGTAAATCAGAAAGGTTCACGGAGGAGTTATCAAGCCCCGCTGCCGCAGGCACAAGAGTTCGTCGGCCCAAGAGAAAAGGCCAGTGGCCGTGCTGTGCTGAGGCCCCTGTGGGGCTCGCTTCGTGATCTAGTTCTAAAGTTAGGGGTGGGTTTGAGGGTAGCATGTTTCTGTCGGGGAGTTCCAGATCTTGGGAAGGATGGGTTTGGAGCTGGGGATATCGCCAGGCAGGGAGAGCCGAGTGCTCAGGATTCTTGAGGCTGTAGTGTTTGGGATTAGGGTTTAGGGCTGTCGGCATTTTTGCAGCCTAGGGCCTTAGGGCTGTTTTACATAGAGTTTATAGCGATTCAAGTGAAAAGGGTTATTTCTTACCTAGCACTCATATCGGAAACGAGATCATCTGTCCAAGTGCAGGCCTTCAAGGCTTCGAACATGTTCGGGTGGCACGATTCTTGCTGCTGCTACTGCTACTGCTACTGCTGCTGCTGCTGCTACTACTACTACTACTACTACTACTGCTGCTGCTGCTGCTGCTGCTTGCCGCTGCGTGCTGACGCCACCAGTAGCGGATCCACCCTTGTGAGAAGCAGTGCCAGAACATTTTATGACAGCTTGCAGATCTTGGTTGACCTTTGCAAGTCAACGTCAAGTCATGGGATGCTGTGAGTAGCCGATGCATGAAACCTCCCACTTTTGCTTGGGCCTCCAAAGCAAACATTGACCCTGGGTTAATGACTGCTTTTTTCGGGTCTGTGGTCTTTGACTTTTAGGATTTGTGGTTTGGGTTAAGGTTCGGGGTCGGTCACGTTTGGGCATCCTGACGGCTGAGGCTTAGTTAAAGGTTCACTTGCGATTGTTTAGGGGTTGGGCGTATTCAAGAGTAGGGTGTCCTTTACGGCCTAAGGTTTGGGTTGTTTAGGATTTGGGTTTTGGATTGGTTAGGGTCTGGGCCTGGCTTCTCTAGGGTTTAGGATTTGTGGGTCGGTTGCGTGGGTTTGGGGTTCCCGGTGGGTTTTTGTTTGTTTTGGGTTCTTTTGGTTTGCCGTTGTTTAGGCTTTTGGTTTGGGGTTGTGCGGTCTTTCGGGTTCGACTTGTTTAAGGTTGAGGCTAAGGTTGATGACTATGATGGCTTGCCGTTGTCTGAGATTTTTGGTTCATCAGGTTTTATGGTTATTTGGGTTTGGGGCTCCGGTTGTTGTAGGATTGTAGAGTTTAAGTTAAGGGGCTGGGTTTGAGGGCTTTAGTTTCTGGCGCTGGGTTTGTCGTTCAGGGTTTTGGTTTTTTTGTGGCTTTTGGCTCGTTGGGGTTCAGGCTTCCGGGTTGTTGAGGGTTTTGGGTTTTAGCACTTGGTTTGTCTTTGAGGCTGCTGAGGTTTTTTGTGTGGTTTAAGTTGCAGGGCTCGGGAAAGGCTGGTTCTCTGATACCTTGAGTCAGGCGATGTCAGTAACTTCGGAATCCGTTGCGAGCCGTCCGTGGACCCCAAATCCTAAACTCGATAGAAGCCACAACAGCTCCAAAGGCGGATTCGCGCTGGATGCACACAACAAAGCAATGCATGTTAGGCAGGCCTAAGTGGATGTGCACTGAACCCGGCAGTCAGATAACTGACGCCATCCAGAATGCTGCACGGGCTGGTGCTGTATCCTCTCTTCGTTGGGGCATGAGAAGGGAAATGCCGGTTACATTCTAAAGCTGCGATCGCATCGATGGGCTAGATGTGCAGTGTCGTAGAGGTGCGAGTAGGTGGTGGTGCCTCTGAATCGCACCTGCCCCACTGAATTCTGTCCTGCTGCCCACGCTGCCTGGTGCTTCCTCGAGGGTGCATTAGCGCACTTCGTCAGATCCAGACTTGTCTTGCGTACATCAAAGCTCTCTTTTGGCGTCGCATCAGAAACGTCAGAAATCTGCGGGGCTCCTTCCCTGTTCGGCTTGTTTCACATACTCTGTCTGGTTTTTCTTTTCAAGATAGTACTTGGACACATGCGTACGCTGCTGCCATGCTTGACATTCTGTGGTTGACGAGTACAAGTTGTTTTGCACGCGATCTTCTGCGGGCTGGTTGGTTCAGGCAATGCTGCGTCTCACCCATAGGTCCTGTCCATGAGCCTCGGGCAGGGCAAGGGTTGGCGTTGATGGCCAGAAGGCTCACAAGGGCAACCTTTGCATTGCCAAGATGTGCTGTGACATCGGAGTTCGCAAGCCTCATGAAGGCGTTGTCGCCGCTGACATCGCGCGTGTGAGGAGAGTGCTCAATCTGAAGTGGCACCAGCTGTTGGGTGTGGCTTGGGTTATGCACAAAGGTATCGCGAGTCCACTGTCACTGTCGTGATGGTCGCGGGCCCGAGATGCGAAGCATAGCCACGTCATTCCGAAACTGATTGACTTGTACTCCGGCAAGTGTGAGTGACTGCTCAGGCGGCTGATGCAGCTTTGGCTACTGTGACCGCTGGCGGCCAGCAGTCCAAAGATGCAGAGCAAGCAACAGACTTAGACTTAGATGCGAAATGCAGCTGGCAAGTTTTCACGAGACTCTCGAAACGCTTGACAGTGTTGCATGTAAGTGCACACCGAGGCTCATGCCAACCAAGGTGCAGTGTGCAGCAACTGCCTGTTTGGATTTCTTTCCAGTGCCTCTGATTTGAGATCTTCACTGATTGGTGCTCGGTACTCCAATCCAATTGCATGTGACAAAGCCAGGCACCGCGGAGACGCTTCAAGTAGTGCACATGAACACCATCGAGTCTGTCATGATTCAGGCCGTGTAGAAATGTCGTTGTGTCGCGACTCAATCTTTTGCCGTCGAGGTCGATCGGTGCGCATCAGGCCCGGTGCCGCCAGGGGCTTGCTGCACGTGACTCGAAACGAACAACCCGACTACAACTCAAAGCCTAGGCCCGGCGCAGTTGCAGTGACAGCAGAGAGCCTTCTACTTACATTCACAGAGGCGTCCAAAAACCGAGCACTTAGCCTTGCGGCATCTTGCAGCTTGACCGAGGCATGATCTGCAGAGGCTGGCGGACAGACAAAGCCAGTCTCTCTGCCTTAAACCCTCCTGTCGAGGACCCGAGGATGGTGAGCCGATGCCTTTGTGGCAGTGCATGTGTTATGGCTGACTTTGACCGGTTTGCTGCCCTAGCTCCGCATTGCCGGAATGGCACCCGTCTGCCTTGGCCCCGCCCTTGCGCACCCTAAAGACAAGAACAAGCGAAGTGCACCTGTTTGCAAGGTTTTTGGATCTGCGAAAGGGTTGTTCAAGGGCTTTTTCCGCTGGTCAGCTTGAGGCCGCCAGAAGAAGCTTTCTCTGGGATCACGCCAAGCCGGCCCGTTTGCTGGCAGAGCATTTGCTTTCGCAATGGCGACACCAACAGGCTACCTGTGAAGTCCGCACTTGATTTGAAGCAAGAAAGGCTCTCACTGTTTGGTGCACAAACTTCAGGGAGTTGGGCGAAAAGAACCGTTCCCGAAAGGCTTATTGGCTCCGTGACGAAGTACCTTCCTGTCAGTGGCTACGGCATGGTGAAAAGCGCGCCTGCAAGAAGCGCAGCTGATGTTCGTCGAGTTGCATTGCCTAATGACTTTAACGACCGTGTCAGGTCACATGTTCGAGGGCGAGCTGATGTTCAGGATAGATCGAATAATGCCGGAGTTTCAGGTCCGACCCTCGGATTCAGAACGACCGTGGATTCGAGAGTGTTGGATGTACAAAGTGTGATTAGATCTGCGAACAGATGTCACATCCAGGCTCATCCCCTTCATGAGAACGAAGGAGTCGAGTCGCATCCTTGGGTTTCATGGTTGCTTGGACGTGTTGCGGCTGCCTTGCAATTCATACTGATCATACTGAGCTGAGGTTCGATGTTCAGGCTGACGAGAACGGCAAAGCCGTGGCCGTAGCTGTAAAGCCGGTCCTGGGCAGGAAGCCAATGGCTCAGCTTGGCTCGGAAAGTTGAGCGAAGATCATGTCCTTTGTCGTCCCATGTTCTCTAGGTTTCCCACACCCTTCATACCATGTATGGCCACTGCATTTCTCGGCGAGAGGATGTAGGAAACTTGCGCAGAGGCCATACGATGTTCTTGGCCAGCGGCACCGGGGCTACGTAAGGCGTTTCGCTGAGCGCCTGGGCCTCGAAGCCTCGAAGCCGTAGACGTGGAGACTGCTGCAAGACTGCCGCTGCTTCTTTTGCCGTTTCGCTTCCAGGTTGGGGCTTCCTCAATGCTGCCGCCTTCGACGGAGACCTCTTCGTTCACCGAGACAACCTCTTGCTTGAGACGGGCGCTAAGAGTCTCGCAGGTTGGAGGTGTGAGACTGGTGCTCACACACTGCCGTGTACCATTGTGTGCCCAACTCACGTCTCCTTATGCTCCATTACATCAGGCCGGGTTCTGAAACTGGTGCAGACGGGCAGCCGATTCTCCGGACGGCCTGGATCTCGCCTGATCTCGCCGGCGCATTCATCTACTCCTGTCCTGGCTGTGCTGGTATTGTGCCTTGCTGTCCCCACCGACTTTGTTTTGCTGCCACCGTTGCTTTTGCTGCCGCGACCGCTGCTTGCCACCGAGGGGCAAGTTGTGGAGTTTGACGTTGCCCTTGATGATCGTAGAAGGGCGGTTCGCAGCTTAGTTTGTGCGTTGACACTCCATGTCTATTCCGTGCGCATGAGAGCAGGGGTAAAAAATTGGTAGCACGAATTGCCATGACATGTGAAGTCCCATCGAATGCTATGGGGGATGATCGCCCTCGTGAAATGTGGAATATCTTCGACGGCCCGAGCAGTCTTGCCTGGTGCAGTGCCTTCCTGAGGTGGCGAAGCAAATCACCACACGAGCTTTGCTGAGACCCGGCGATTGGATTGGCCACAGGCTGTAAGTGTAGGCGGACTTGTGCCTGCTTGACAGACATCCGCATATGGACGCTTGCAGGTTGCGCGGGTACATCCGATCCTTCCAAGGCGTTCGGACCCAAGAGCCGGGCCACTTGTTGACCATGGTCACAGTGAAGACGTCAGTGAGGCCTGGGGCTTCATCAACTCCGACAGATTTGCCGGGGATCTCTTCGTGCATCGCGACTCTTTGCTGGTCGGCTAAGCACAATGACAGTGGAAGGTTCGTCTGAAATCCGGAAGTCTCCTTTGTTAGGCGCAGTGCCAGAATGCGCAGCTGGGCCTGAGTACGGTGCACTGGGCTTTGTTTCTCTCTCACAGTACTTGCACACTCTTAAGCTCACTCCGGGCAGGTGGTAGAGTTCGACATCGAACGAGATCATCACCGCAAGGGAGCAAAGAATCGACTGGTGGCAAGGAGCACTTCAATTGATTCCCGTATGAAATGCCCGGGGTGTTTCAGTGCATCTTTTGCAGCAAGGAACGTAGCCGTTCTCGGTCCCCCGGAGGCTGTTTCAATGCCGGCACGTGAAAGTCAAAGTAGATGGTTTTAGCGATGGCTGTGTCGCAGGCTGCTCCTCCTGCGCCGGCGTGCTGGCCCTACGTTGCCTTGTGACAGTGCACATTCCCACCCGAACTGACATAACCCCTGCTCAGCTGCTTGAAGGAGGGGCTGCAGCATGAGAGGGATTCAGAGGGATTGATTTCGCTTGCTTGGTCTCGTTACACACCGGTGGATAGCCAATGATAGCCACCTGGGATCACCTGGGCGTTGTCACGCTATAGGAGCGCATGCTGCTTGACGGCACTTCCGCAGTTCATGGCTATGAAGTCTACAACGGGCTCGAGGATTGTTCGTGGTGTCTCGTTATCACGATGCAAATGTTGCAGGCCAGCACCAGCGCTCCCTGGACCCGGGCAGGCCTTGTTCATGGCGTTCGCACTCATGTGAAGGCGAATGGAGGCGATGGGACCGACGCGCTCTCTGGCCCATGACAGGCACCTTCAACCGATCCTGCACCCTTACACGGTCTTCCACACCCGCATCCTTCACCTGCAGGCGACCCAGGTTCATGATAAAAATCCAGAGAAATTTCTCTTGCAGCAGCGTGAACAGGATGCCTTAGGATGCCATTGTCGGGCAAATCTGCACATCATGCTTGATCTCATTCGAGACTCTGGCTAGTCACTTCACAGGAGCGCGAACAAGCTCTCAGATCCCAGTATGAGCAACCTTGGGTAATGTGTGTCGCGGCAGCAAAGGATCCTGATCTGAACTGAGGCACCGCAACCTGCGCCAATGTACTACCAGGCCCCAGCCCATTGCTTGCGAGCCAGGACGCTCTTCGGTCTTGCCTCGTTTTGAGGCGCCTCCACCTCCCGTGCCGGATCCGAGTTCTGCATATGGTTTCGGCCTCGAGAGTCTTCCTTGGTGTATCGGCCCCGTTTCACATCTATTGAGGCCTGCCGCCATACCCATATCAGCATCCATATCCATATCCGTCTGCGCCTTGGTCTTGAAGGTCTTCTCAAAGGCCATGCCGCTCTTGTTCTGGAGCATGATGCAGCACGCGCGCGTGTGTGTGTGTGTGTGTGTGCGCGCGCGCGCGCGGGTGTGTGTGTGTGTGTGTGTGTGTGTGAAACTCCTGTCTCTAAGGATTTAGGACTTGTTGCTACTTGTCTCGTGCTGAAGCAGGGGAGTGCGGCATGACTGTGGGACCGCACTCAA